CATGGGCTCGAGCAACGGAGTGGTGTTGGGAGGCAGAAACTGGATCTTGTTGAACTTTAATTCTTCAGGGAGATCATCTTGTAGGCCTGGAGGATTCATGTACATGTATCACAATATAACACAAGTTTGAGAAAATGTGGGATCACAAGCGACACTACGGTGCTACTGGAATGAGTGCTAAACACCGACTAATGTAACATGCGCATAATCCGGGCCTTCCCCTCTCCTCGCCACTCGTTATGCAAAAAATCGCTCGTTAAGCAAGTAATTCTTTTACAATTTGTTTTGCTCGTTATGGATTACTCGTTATGAGAGGTGCTCGTTAAGCGAGGTTCTACTGCATACTGAAAAAGGGAGTTGGGGAATCTGAGTTTTTGCATTCAAATGATATATATAAACCCGACATCTTGTTTAATCTGAGCATTAAAGAAAATTTGCTCATAAACAAGATAGGTTCCCGAAGCAGAGGTGATTTTGCCGATAAGCGTCACGATGGCCAGACTAGGCTCCGAAAGTCTCTAAAACAAAATGAGTTGAGTTGAGTTGATTCAAGAACCGACATCACAGCACTCGGGGCATTCCTATAAGCTCTCCGTCCCCATTTTCAGCAGCCAGCGCAGAGTTCCAACACGAATAGTGCCAGTAGCATTCTGATTGAACGTTAGTTTCGTCTTTCCTCTGAGCCTCTAGCATCGGTCAGAACCCCTTGTCACTCCCCGCTGCATCAATCTCACTAGAATGTGTTGATCGCAGTAAGTGTGAGATTGGCAGTACGATTCTTTCTAGTCTGCTTCCGACGATGCACCATGGACGTACGACACCCAGAACGGTCCTGTGCAGTAGCCTCCCACGTCACTGTGTTGATGCCAACAGAAGTGAGAGCAGTCTTGAGAGTGTCCTTTTAGCGCATTTTCTGTCCTCCCTGGCACCTCTTCCCTTGCTGGAGCTCGCCATAAAATACACTCTTTGGGAGGCGATAGTCTGGCATGCTAGTTAGGTGACCAGCCCAACACAGCTGACAATTCTTCAGTATCGTGTGGATGCTAAGCAGGTTTCGCCCTATCAAGAACCACAGTATTTGGGATCCTATCTTACCATTTGATTTTGAGCAGCTTTCTGAAACAGGTTATCTTAAACTGTTTAAACTTTTTAGCATGGCACTAATACACAGTCCCCGTTTCGCAAGCGTAGAGCAGTACTGGAAGAATTACAGCTTTGTAAACCTTTAGCGTGGTTATCAGGGAGATACCACTTCTGTTCCAGACAATGGTATAAAGTCTGCAGAAACTGCTGCTGGCTTTTGAGATTCTAACATTGATCTCGTCGTTGATGTTGACTTTCTGAGATAAGTTACTGCCAAGATAAGTGAATCTGGCGACTACATTTAGCTTTTGATCATTTACGGTTATAGTGGGATCACAGTAATTTTTTTTCTGGAAGTCAGTTGATGGATAACGACAGTTGTATCGGTGTTGATAGTTAGCCCGAAGTTGGTACAGGCTTATGAAAATCTATTGATGATGTGCTGCATACTGGCCCCAGAACTGATTCGAGTTTAGAGCACAGTCATCGGAAAAAAAGAAAGGTTTTTATTTGTAGTTGTTTTAGTTTTTGATTTAGCTCGAAGTTTCCTCAAATTAAACATATCAAGGAAAGATATAAAACCGAACGAACAGTATAATTGCAAGCTTCACAATATAACAAATACAAACAAAACGTGAACGTTGTGGCTATTGAGCCTTCGTCAGCACATACAAATGAAACAATACTACACAGATACACAAAATCACTTAGCAGGTATCTCGAAGCAGCCTGGTCGGTTGTCTCGGCAGAATGACTACACCTGTCGGCTGGGGGAATAAATAACCCCTGTGGAGTACCAGGGGCCATAACTAGGGGGGTTGGAGAGACAACTGTGAGGGCAGTTCAATCCCCCTGGGATTAAACAAGCTGCCATCTGTACGGTTTTTTAAAGCAATACCTGGATCTTCATTATCAAGGGCATAAACAAGCATTGCAGCAAATGTCATCCTGAACAAGGTTAGCGCAAGCACACATCCTTGCTCTACGCCATTTGAGACAAGCACAAAACGAATATACACACAAATTAATGAACTACCAGGACTTTCCTAAAGAGCTTATAAAGTGAACAAAGAAGAACAGAGGAAGAAACGCCGCCCCCACCCCCCTCCCCCAATCCTGTTTGCACATGATGCTACTGATGCTTTGTTTCACCTGTTGACCCACTCCATGTTTTCTCGCACTTCTAGTTGTATCTCCTCTTGATCAGGGTTGCCGATTTGGCACTTTAAATGCCAAATTCGAGAAATTTGTCAATTTTTGAAAAGGGTTGACGTAACAAACAACAACAACAAAATGAGTTGCAATTCTGCCACAATTTCGGTGACAATTTTTTAAAGATGCTTCAGATCAAAGTGAGTAAATATAATATAATGGGAAAAATGTATGCTAGGAAATGTTATTTTAGAATTTTAATTTATAACCAGTCTCGGGAGCAGCGTTGCCACTTTGGATGTTTTACATCCAGATTTAGATGTTTTCCCTTGCATTTAGATGGCGTTTGTAGATGGTAGATGTCTTTCTAGATGTTTTTCATTTGGAGTGAATTTATCAAATCTAACCTAAGAAACAGGATGAAATTTGACCTTCTAAATGCTATCTTGACAATAAAATTAGGCCTGATAAGAGTAGGAAAAGGCTGTTCCACTTATCAGCTCCCTGATTGGGTATTAAAAGAAATTGGAACAGCTAAAGCATACCAGAGTCATTTTGGATCTGAGCTTCAACTTCATCATCCAAGCTAAGTTTATCCTGTGGATCTTGTAAGGCAGACTTCAGTAAAGATGAGGACATGATTCTATAGAATAAGGCTTATCAATTGCTGTGTAATTTGTGACTCTTTCCATTTTGATGTTTTTTCTAGATGTTTTCCACGGAAATTTAGATACAGCGCGGAGTGACGAGGGATGGGTGATGCTCGAGGCTCAGAGGAAAGGCAAGATGGACGGACGTTTAATCAGAATGTTACTGTCACCATTAGTACTGGATCTTTGCACTGGCTGCCGAAGATGGGAAGGAAGTGCTTATGGAAATGCCCCGAGTGCTGTGATATCTGTTCTCAAATCAACTCAACTTAACTCAATCAGGAATTTGCAAATAATGAACATCCACCAGTGTAGAACTTATATGCTGGACCAAGGGAGATTTCGCATGTAGTCAAATTTGATTAGTTGAGGATTTTGTTATGCTGGCTTAAGTGATATTATCACAATCGACGTCTTTGCACATTAGGCATCCCTGTACGTGCTCAGTCCTCCGATGCAGCAGACAGTCCTACGTACCTCGCCTGATTTTTACCATAAGGAGTTGGTTATGGTATTTCCTGTATTTACTTCGAAGACGGCATAGACGTGCTTCGCTGAACTTAATTCCTGGGTCTTGCATCTTTTTAGCGTGAGAGATGCGCCATTATCATTATATTATTGTACCTTACTGGGCCAAAGTAATAAAATATGTGTGACAGAAACGAATGCAGAAAAGCAACTACCAACAAGGCAGACAATGTGTAAGAGAATATATATGGTGAGAAAGAGTTACTAAATAGCGAGCGGAAAGGACGGTTGAAATAGAGATTACCGGGGAACATTCCGAAGTGGGAAAGCACAAAGTGGTGACAAGTGAAGTCCTTCAAAGAACATGTTGACCATGTCATAACAAAAGCATGCAGAGGCCTGTCAGCAATGAGGGTCCTGGCCGCCGCTAACACTGAGCAGAGACTGCTTCTGCGTCTGTTCCAGGGACTTGCACTTTCTCCCATCGAATATGCTCTTGCCATCCTCACTGTCAGCCATACTTAGATTGGAAGACTCGAGAAGATGCAACACGAAGCAATGAGCATTATTCTATTCTTGCATGTGTTGAGTTGAGTCAACAATTGACACCACAGCACTCAGGGCATTCCCATGCATGCTCCGTCCTCATCTTTAGCAGCTAGCGCAGAGTTCCAATACTATTGATACCTGTCACAATTTGATTAAATGTTCGTCTTGCCTTTCCTTTGAGTGTAGTGAGCCGGCCAGACCCTCAATTCCCGTGTGTGTTCTATGTGATTCTGTGAGCATGATCCGGCGGGTCGAGGCAGGCTGGTTACGCAGACAATTGTTTGAGTCAATGCAAAACTACCTTTATATTCGTCCTGGAGGAGTTGTTGGTAATAAAAGACCTGATAGACTGACAGGTGCTGCATTAATTAATTGAAGATGGCCGGCCTATGGATCACGCAGACATTGTCTTTGCCCTTAGAGAGATAGGACGTTCTGCGGATTTTGGAAGCAACGTGTCCACGTCACTGCTAAGAATGCGAGAATTGGGAGTAAAGATCGGCACAGCCAAGCATGAGAAGCACACCGAACGCACACGAAGTCTTGTTAACCAACGTAGGACTGGCACTATTAACCGAGCGACGTTGACGAATATGTTGGGAGGGGAATCTGAGCGCCTATGGATGGTCTGGAGTCTTGTGAAGATAATCTAACTTATAACTCAAGTGAACAGTTTTGGATTGTTGTTCTTCTTAGTGTATCATTTAAAGTCAAGAGCTTACAGCTTTTGCTGATACTTGTTTAATAACTACTGTCAGCAATGGCATTATTGAGACGGTGTTCTCTCTGGCATCATCAGTCAAAACAAAAACAAAAAGATAGAACGCATCTTCAACTTCTTGGGGCAATAGTGAGAATAAAGACAGATCTGCTTAGATGCAATAACTTGATCCTATCCCCTGCTAAAATAAAGAACTTGTCTGCTGACAAAGTGTATAGTATTGGTTTCACTGGGGACGATGGTGATAACCGAGGTCTGGGGCTTTTCTAACGATGTGGTTATGATTTATGCTTCCTTCTTGGCATTTTTTGGCAATTCCTAACACAGTGTTTGGCAGATTTTCTAAATGTTGATCTGGCAATCCTGATTCGGACAAGATGGCCGAGGGAAGCGAGCTGACGATCCAAGAGGTGGAGGAGAGAGAGGAGCGGGAGTATTTCGCTCGGGTTGTTAACTCTTTTAAGTATTACAAGTGAGTCTTGATGTTACAGACATGCTGTCATTTATTTCTGTTGTGTTAAAAAAAAATTATTATTTGACAGAAAAGAACTAATTTTGGCTAACCAGAGTGTTCATGTAGTGTCATTGTTATTTGATTTGTAGATGACTAGATAGATGAGAGTGTTTCAGTCTGAGTCCAGAGTGTGTGACACAGTGTCACTGCGTGTCAGTTTCCAGCGGTGTCAGACATAATCTAATAATAATAATATTTTTGTGTCCAATTAATTATGACGTAAAGCGCCACAGAGAAAAGTTAGATATACTAACTTTCCTGTCCTTTGCTAGTAGTTGTGTATCCAATATTATAAATAAATCGACGACTATCCTCCGAATAGATAGCGGGTACATTTTATGGCGGCCAAAAACACACCCTAACAGGGCCTGTCACATGTAAATTGTGAACTTGCCGCGGCTATACTGCCACCGCCGAGAGTATCTCTCACGCCGCTACGCGAGTGTGGATTAGGACTAAACTAGTTCGCTAGGACTAACGAGCAAAGATGCACTAGATGCAGAAGCTTTGCTTGTGAGTCCCAGTCATACAGTTTAGCCCCAATCCGCACCGCACTTCTTAGCGGCATGGGAGATTCTCTCGGTGTTGGCGGTAGTCACCTGAACTGCAGAATTTAAGTCGCTGGAAGTCTGCAATTTACACGTGACTGAGGCCCTGTTAGGGTGTTTTTGTGCCCGCCATAATATGTGGCCGTTATTCGGAGGATAGTCTAATATCCTATTACGTTTCAGCATCTCTTTTAGTTTTACCACCCCCATCCATCTCTTTCTTGGCCAGGATTTTTTCATGTAGTACTCTCTAACTGCTGGCTGATTTTGTTCAATTCTGACCAGATGACCAAACCATTCAACTCTTTGAAGAAATAATCTGTTTATAGAAGGCGTTCAGTTGTTAGCTGATTTAGAAAGAGCTCACAGATCTTTACATTGCTTTTGAGAACATTGATGAGGTTACTGGTGGAAGAGAAGAAAAAAAAAACATAAAAAAAAAAAACTGAGATTTTTCGAGCCATTGTAGTAGAGTTCTGTCTTCTCAGCATTTATTTGAAAATGAACAGTAACAAAATCTGTGCAATGATGACTCAGTTATCACACCAAACAATAGCAAGGCATGTGTTTAAAAAACAACAACACATAGTTGGCTAGAATGACTGTTTCACTTATGTCAAAGTGAATACCAGGACAAGTTTTGGAATGTGAAGGTGGCATTTGCAGTACACCCCTAAGTGGGGCTACTCCAGCCAACCTATCTGGCTTCTCATTTCCAAGCATACCTGAATAGTCCAGACAAAATAGCCATGTGACTCTCACCACCTGTGACCTCTGGATTGATGCTATCCATTCCATGGAAGAAAACCTCCCTCCGTTTTGCTTGGCATATTTTGCGAAGCCGATACTATGACATCTGTGGTTGGAATTTTCTCCACCCATCAGAATGTGACAGTTACAACCTCGACTTCATTTTCATGCTGCATGTGGTCATGTTGTATGCCAAGCTCTCCTCGGTTGTTCTTCTCCCCCAAGCTTTGGCAATCAAGCCCCATCTACTTTTTTGTTTAATCCCTGGCCACTGACCCATCAGTGTATATTAACATCTGGCTTAGAGTTGTCCTCCGTCAGCTGTTGAACCTCAGTACCTGCAAGTTCTGCCAACCATTTCCTGCATTCCCTTTCCAAGGTAATTATTAGTTACAATCAATTTGTGTGCACAGGAAGGCTAACCTGCACAACAAATACCTATAGAAGTCAGATTTATTGGCCAAAAGGTGCAAATATTGCAGCCATTTTGAAAACGGGTACAATACATTTACGTTTTTCGGATGAATGCAGAAGAAGAATGCATGTCTGTAGGTTCTCAAACCAGCAGAAAGCTGCAGTGACTGCCTCCAACTCCATTCTTGAACTAGAAATTGTGGTTTCATATGCTAGGCTTAACTGCACATACCACAAAACCATATATATCAAAAATTACATCATCTGGGAGAGAAGTATCATGATTTCATCTGGATGACCCCCCTCCACCCCCCACCCCTTCCTTGCCTTACCACGACTTATCATACCTTCCTGGCCAGGATGCACAGTCTGAAGAGACTACAGATGAGCAAATTGTCCTACCTGCAGCTGTGTGACCAGCACAAGAGTCGCATCCTGGGCTACCTGGAGAACCTGGAGTTGATCCAGACCTGCGTCCTTCACAACTACGAAGTGATCAAGCTGATGCTGCAGGATTGTCAGTATATGTTTTTGAATAAAGACGAAAGCATCTCTGAAGTTGTAAGTTATAGTTAGTAGTTTCTGTGTCTTTAATACACAAATAACAATGATAACGAAGTCAGAAGTAACAAGACATTCATAAAATGTTAAATTACCACTAACTACTAGCATCAAGAGGGCTGGTAGGATGCAGTAGGGGTATATAGAGACAGTGACAGATAATAGGCAGACAAAAATAAGCTGAATGGTAGTAGATCACAGGGCTGACCAAGAAGATGGGGAGAGAGATAATATATAGGCAAACCTACAAATACTTGGGGTCACCAACTACAAAGTGAAGGCCAATCACAGAGAGGGGGTAGAGGTGGGTGATATCTGCAGCAGCCTCAAGGACTCGGAATGTTGAAGGTTAAAGGTAAGAGAATCAACTTTATTGCGCTGGGGTTGAATCCATAAGGCTCAGTCTCTATCTGCAGAATGGCTTACACTTGTCGATGAACCCACGACCTTCGGAGCAACATGTTGGACTTCTTTGCAACAGAGATCCCTCAATGCGGACAAAGATAACATTTCTATTGTTGCTGTTCTTTTGAAGTGCATAAGTGATTTTGTCTGGCTTTCTGAAGATCATCCAGTATGATGTTGATGACATTACCAACACCAACAGAGTGCCACTTGGTCTATAAAAGATATGGGTCTAGCATCATATGCCTGGAGTTCCTGTAACTTCACTCTTTCAGTAGCAGAAGCTTTCACAAAGCAGGCAGAGAGGGAGAGATCATGACACACTGGCAACGAATGGACTCAGTAATACTGCCTAGGCTTTTGCTGTCACACCATAGCATGATTTAACCCTGTTGTCTGAAAAGACATAGAGGTGCAATAATGGTGTTGACTTGCTGTTCTTCAGTCCGGCATGTTTATTTCTTCATGTGTTAAATTTTCTTATCACAAATCGTTGCTTATTCACAACCTTCTCATTTGAAATAATTTCTTCAAAGGACTTTGAAAGAGTAAAGAAACTGGACTGTGCACCCCCAACAACAGAAGACATGGACAAGGTATCAACAACCTTGAGGCAGATAGTGCGAGACTGGAGCGAGGATGGTCGAGCTGAAAGAGAAGCTTGTTATCAGCCAGTCATGCATGCTGTCTTGACCAGGCTTGGGTATGGGTTGGAGCATTCTGTAACATGTTGCAATTGTTATTGTAACTGTTTCTATTTTGTAATTGTTTCTATAGTTTTTGCTGTTGATGTAGCTGTTGCTGCTCTTGTAAGTGTCATTGTAGTTGTTCATGATGTTGCTGTCACTGTAGTTGTTGCTATTGTTCTTGTAGTTGCTGTAGTTAATATTGGTAATGTTGTAATAGTGTTTTATAGACCAGTGTGTGATGTGGCAAACATCTTGCTGACCACCTTTGCCATGTTTGTGGATTTGAACGCAAGACCTTCTGGCCAGCATGCATCTTATCACAGTGCTGCCACAACTCTGTATACACCTTCTTTCTTCTTCGATCCTTCTGTCAGAAAACCTTATACCAGGAGGCCAGAAGTCTTGATGGAAGTTATCGTACAGTCAGAAGCTCCCAGTGTACCATGCAGCTTTGTTTTGGTTGAGGCAGTTTCCCGTGTGGGTTCCGGGGCCCTGTTATGGGGAAAACAAGAATAGAGCTCCTTCATGTCGTAGGAGTCGACTAATTGGGAGCTTCCTTCGAAGTCCGAGTGCATCTGCCTGAGGCAAGGAACCAGCAGTCTGCATACAGATGAGTCAGATATGTAAAATGGATGAAACTCAGGTTTTTTAACAGGACTGCAGTCCAGAAGTGGATGAGCAACCAGAACTTTCCGCCAGAATTTACAGCTGGTGAACGCAAAGAAGAAGAAGATTAGAGCTGGAACATGCCAGATGGCCTCTCTGTTAACAGCAAACAATTTACGATGTTGGAGTACATGCTCAGCAGTTTCTGGTGCCAATCTCTGTGTTTCCGATATTGACATACATTGGAATTTTAGGATCAAAATTTTATCCATTCCATTGCTGAGTTTGTATGGTGAGTAACTCTTATCCAGAAACTATTTTTCACATAAAAATTAATGTAAATAATTTTAATTCGTTCCAGCCCTCCGAAAAAATCAGAAACAAAATGACATTTTTACTTTCTTTAACGGGGAAAATTTGAGGCACTGCTTTAGTGTTTTGCCGGCAGTGGAAAATAGGATTACTTCTGACCATGAGGCTACAGTCCATCATCATCATGTGCCTTCTCGGCTGGCTGCAGTCGTCTTTCGGCAATGTTACAGAGAAGCTGTTCGGTAACGCCAGGAGTTATCTTGTCTCTCCAGCTCACATCCTGGATTGCACCTTGTATTATGGGGCAAAAGAAGACACGATCAGAAACACATTCTTTCAGAATGACACATTCTTATTCTGAGGTTCCTCTGCGCTTGAACATATGTTGGCAAACTCTGTTGTGTCCTGTCCTTAGCATGAATACGATACACTGACCCTGTCTTGAGAGGTAGGAAAATGTCTTGTAGTAGGTGAATATATTTTTTTAACACCCCCCCCCCCCCTCCATAAAAACTCATTATCATTATGTTGTGTTGTTTATGTGTCATAAAGGGCTCGTAGTCATTCTGTTCTATCCTGTGAACTATTTTCAGTGTCATAGATGAAATCTGGTCCAGATGTTTTGGTGTCTCTCGCCATGTTCGTTTACAGTCAGACTATTTCTGGTACCATTAGAATCAGAACTCTGCACTTGCTGCTGAAGATGTGGGCGGAACATTTATGGGAATTTCCCTTGTGCTGGATTGTCGGATTCTTCATGAAACATTCAGTGTTCTCAATTTTTGTTATCGCCCATTTTTGAATGTCATAGTTTCCTCATTCGTTGCCATTTTCTCTATCCAGTCAGCCCAAAAAAAAAAAAAAAAAACCATCAGTTGCAAATGACAAATTATTATGGCTCGATAGCCTTCAACAACAAGCAATAACAAAAGGACACCGATACAACCATATACAATTTAAAAATTGTTCAGAAAGCTTTCTTAGGACTTTTGTCCAGGAGTCATTGGAATATCCAGGTGGACATGGATACCGAGTGTTTTTGCATTTATACTTTTTTTTGCAATGTTTTTCATGGGATTGTTTTTGTACTGTTGTACTACCATTTTATTTCGCAGTGTAGTTACAAATAAAATAGTTTTAAAACTATTTATAAAACAACAAAACCAGTATTGTTTGACACTGATTTTTGCAGATGGTATTCTCCAAATTCTTGGCGTTTATCTGTTTGTCCTCCTTTTTTTCATCACATTTTTTAATTGGGAGGGGGGGGGGGGGGGCTGTCTTGCCATATAATCCAGGGGGAAGGAATTGGCAACTGAAAAAAGGTTGAAAACCATTGACGTAAAGTTTTATGGTTCTGTTCTCTTGTAGTGCCTGGTGATCCCACAGTTTAATGTATTTATATTTCAGTTCTCGGAAGCCTGCAGACGTCAAGATCCTGGTGCCAGGAGCAGGGCTGGGTCGCCTGGTGTTTGAGTTTGCCAGGTTGGGCTACTCGTGCCAGGGAAATGATTGGAGTCTGCATATGCTTCTTGTGTCCAATTTTATACTAAACAGGTGAGGGAGAGAGAGAAAGAGAGAGTGTTAAAGTGAGGGAGAGGGTTACATGCAGAACCCTTTCCCCCGCCTTCAGACGCAGGGAGCAAATGATGCTAGACCGATGGGTGATGTGGTTACATCACATCAGCCGCCTTTACCTCCCATGACTTTACATCTTCTTCTCTTCTCTATTCATGGGCTGTAAGGTCCGGCGGAAAGTCCTGGTTGTTCGTCCATTTGGACTTTTGCTTTGTGCCAGGGTCTGAGTTTTGCATGTGCGTCTGTTTTACGGGCTTGTTTGTGCACAGTTAGTTGTTCCTTGCTGCTCCAGCTGATGTTCTCTGACTTCAAAGGAAGCTCTGAATTAGTCGGCTCTTACGACGTGCTTGTTGGAGTGGCAGTGGGTCTGTTCTTGTTTTCCCCACAATAGAGCCCCAGAACACGTGAGGCGATGACTCAACCTAACACCCATTTAAGGCTGGGTCCACCTGGGAGCCAAGGTAATTTTTGGAGAGAAAAAAAAGAAGGAAACAGAGAGAAATGGTTAAATATCTAGGGATAAAGAGAAATGTTGTGAAATGAAATGTAAATAAAGAAAATCTAAACAGCGTTTTCCTTTGTAAATTTAATCAAAGAGGACACAAACAGTAGAAAGCACCATTTATAACCTTGTATATTTATTTACAGTAAATATGTAAAGGATTACATTTTCTTTATACAAATAAAAAAAAAATTTAAAAATATAAAGATAGTAACAATAATAATAAAAAATGTAAAAATTATATTAATATTAGAATGGCAACAATTTCTTTGATAGCCATGTTTGAGTAATCTTAGTTGTTTTGAGAAAAGAAGCCATCAATAATAACTAGTCTTTATCAGTATAATTTCTTGGTGGTGATCTATTTCTTCTTTGTGTCTTTTTGACGTTGTTGTAAACTTTTGATGAAGTCACTTTGTTCTGTGTGGTGTCAACTCTTTATTTTATGATCCGAGAAAAGGATTACAGTTGTTTCTTTGCTTCTTTTGTATTTAGTGATTACTTCCCTTGTCTATAAAAAAAAAGAAATCCTGTTTGCATAAAATAATAATGCTAAATGTAAAAAATATTTCCATGTTTTCATGAGTTGGAGTCGTGAGGTCACAGTAGCTAGCAGGCTTGCCTGTCTCCAACACCAAGGGGGTCACGAGGTCACAGTAGCTAGCAGACTTGCCTGTCTCCTACACATGGGGGGGGGGGGGGGGTCACAGTAGCTAGCAGACTTGCCTGTCTCCTACACATGGGGGGAGGGGGGGTCACGAGGTCACAGTAGCTAGCAAACTTGCCTGTCTCCTACACCTGGGGGGGGGGGGGGGGGGGGGTCACAGTAGCTAGCAGACTTGCCTGTCTCCTACACATGGGGGGAGGGGGGGTCACGAGGTCACAGTAGCTAGCAAACTTGCCTGTCTCCTACACCTGGGGGGGGGGGGGGTCTAGAGGTCACAGTAGCTAGCAGGCTTGCCTGTCTCCTAGACCAGGGGTGTTCGAGAGGTCACAGTAGCTAGCAGGCTTGCCTGTCTCCTAGACCAGCACCTCTCAAACTGGGAGCCGCAAGCATAGGCCAGGGGGGGCCGCTGCAATAAGGAAAAAAATTTCCAGACAGTTCCCTTCATCGCATTAAGGACAACTGAATATTAAATTTTCAGGTTTTTTTTTTCTCCTGTTAAAAACAAAGTATTCAACTTTAAGGGTAGGAGTGCCGCGAAATGCTTGTAACCTACCCAGAGTGCTACGGCTTAAAAAAGTTTGAGAACCCCTGTCCTAAGCAGTCATAGGTTTCAATCCCTCTGTCTTTTAAAAATCTGACCATGACTTCAAATTTGTGCATCTCTTCTCTTCCTCTGGCTTCTTAGGATGGAATTTCAAAGAATTATAACAATCAGAGGGAGTCGCCGTGGCCGAGCAGCTAGAGGCTCGCTGCGGATCGGAAGGTTGTGGGTTCGCTCCCTGGCAGAGCCGGACTTTTTTCAAAAATGACCTTGGCTGCCAGGTCAACCCAGCCTTGATTGGGTACCGGGTGCAGTCCCGGGAAAGTAAAGGCGGCCGGCGTGATGCTGACCACATCACCCATCTTGTGCCGATCGTTCCATAAAAATATAGGTCTAGCCCTAAATGCCCTATACGCCTAAAGGCATGGAAAAGGGTCCTTTACTTTACTTTTATAACAATCAGAAGATTTGTATGGGGTTATTACTCAGCTAGGCATCATCATAGTGAAGAATGTCTTTATCAGAAACAGTTGGCATGTAAAAAAAACTAACCCAGTTATAACCTGTGTTAAATCTTAACAGGCTTAATCATCATCCAGCAAAGTGTTAAAACATTCTTCTTTAACCATTGACACAATTTGTTCTCCCCTCAGATGCCAGGAAAGAAACTCCATGGTCATCTACCCTTGGGTTCATCAGTACGCCAACAACCTGGCAACAAAAGACCAGACCAGACGAGTCATGTTTCCAGATATATCCCCACACCAGATTGGTCCAGATGCTGATTTTTCTATGGTGGCCGGAGATTTCGCCAAAATTTATACTGAACCAAGTAAGTGTTTGCAAATGATGAGAACACCATGAAAGGAGAATTTCTAAAAATGTATATCAAACCAAGTAAATTGGCGATTGGATGAGAACTGTTTTTCCTGGCAATACACAGTACCGGTACCTTTTTAGGCATCACAGTGCTACTATTTTAGTCTTTGTAATGAGTACCGGTACTCCTTTTTTACTTGGAAAACAAAGCCCTCCTGACACCGTGGACAAAGTTAAAGTCAAGAAGATTTGATTGCACTGAGTTTTATCTCAAACAGCTCAGTCTTTCTCTGCAGGACAGCTAGCCCCCTGAACAGAGCATCGCACAAAGTACAAAGTCTGTATCTGCAACACAAAGTACAAAGTCTGTATCTGCAACACAAAGTACAAAGTCTGTATCTGCAACACAAAGTACAAAGTCTGTATCTGCAACACAAAGTACAAAGTCTGTATCTGCAACACAAAGTACAAAGTCTGTATCTGCAACGACAGTACTTATAACAAATGCAGCTTGAACTGAACATCTCATTTGTGAAATGAACTCACAATATCCAGAGTGCGAGGCAAACGGCTTGACCACTTTGTCACGGAGAACTCCATGAATGTGCACCCAGATCTCAAGTTCTAGAACAAGGCCTAAGTCCACAAGTGGATGAACAACCAGAACTTTCCGCCAGAGATTAAAGTTGGTGAACGGGATGAAGAAGTATGACAGAATCACTAATGTGAAGCTTTCCCAAAGAAGTCAGATAACTAATGAGGTGAGGAAATATTGCTGGCTTTGGAAAGAACACATTGAGATAGCTTGGCATACTAGACATAGGTAGCAATACAAATGGAGAATAAGATGGAGAGATGGATGAACAGCAGTATGAGAGAGTGTACAACCAGGACAAGAGACAGAGCATGTTGGTGATCTATTACAGCCGACCTGCATTGTGGAGACAGCTCTAATTGATTGATTGATTGATTGATTGATAGTCATCATAACATTTTCTCCCCAAAGTAAGTCTGGGTCTTATATTAATTGTTATTAATTGTTACTCCACAGCATAAAAGCATTATGACTTATTTTCAGAACACACGTAATTTTTTTTCTAAGTACAAAGGGTTAAATTTATGCAAGTACAAATACATATAATAATGTTAGTAATATTGTTCACCAGGCACGTAACTACAGGAATGACATAAACATATAATGAAGCACTCAGACAGAATTAATTTCATTTAAATACGCATCACCTGATCTCTCTGTCACCAGAAGTTCATGATAGTCATGTGACTTACCAGGGTAACTTCCAATTTATAGTGACCTCCTTTTGTTTACATGAGGGGGGAATTGTTAATTTTCATTGAGGCTAATTTGGCTAATCTCCTGCTCAGCATTCAGCATGCTGGCACTAGTCGAAGCTTCAACAATAAAAATGAATCCCCTCTTATGTAAACAGAAGGAATTCATTATACATTTGACAGAGGATCAGGCCAACGTTCAGCACTTGAGGGAAATCCAAGCTGGATATACAGTCAGACTGTTACTGGTGCTATCAGAATCAGAACTCTGCCCTTGCTGCTGAAGATAGGGATGGAGCTCTTGCAGAAATATGCCCTAATGTTGTGACATTGATTTTTAATTCATAATTCAATATTCAATCTTTGTCTGCTATTTTGCAGATTCATGGAATGCAGTGGTGACAGTATTCTTCCTGGACACGGCACACAACATCATTGAGTATTTGGAAACCATATACAACATTCTAGTTCCAGGAGGATATCTGGTTAACTTAGGTGGGTATTAGAATGTCCCAAGAAGACTAAATCTAATCAATTATGGTTGTGACACAGCCCCATAAATACCAGCATATCGTCATTTCTGCACTAACCTGTTCTCAAAAAAGTTTTTTGCATGCAATTGGTTCTCTGTGTGCCTGCATAGTGTTTAGGAAGCCTAGATGGTAATATACAAAGGTCAGATTTTTAATAGCATGCATCTTCCCCATTGCAACATACGCCTGTGAGACCTGGACACTTACTAAACAAGCGGAACAGCGCATAAATGCATTTGAATATAAATGTTACAGACAGGTTCTAAGAATATCTTGGGTAAAGAAAAGAACAAATGCATCCATACTTCAAGAGCTGAATATTGAAGAGGGTTGGCTAGTAAAGACAATAAAACAAAGAAAATTGAAATATTTTGGTCACTTGAAACGTCATGGAAGTCTAGAGAGAACAATAATGGAGGGGTATATGCCTGGGAAGAGAGGAAGAGGAAGGCCAAGGAGAAGATGGGTGCAGGATGTGGCAGATGATCTCCAGATGGGTGTATCAGACGCAGGACATCTTGCTCAGGATAGGAAGGTTTTCCAGAGTGTTGTTATGGCAGCGAGGTTCCGCGAGGGACATGCTACTGAATGAATGAATGAGATGGTAATATATAAACTAAATGTAGCAGGAATTGTCCAATGTGCAGTGAGGATAATCTGTCAATGAACTGACTATTTTAGAATAAAAGTAGGTGATGTGGTCGGCATCCTGTATATGATGCCTTCAGTAGGTGATGCCTTCAGTAGGTGATGCCTTCAGTAGGTGATGCCTTCAGTAGGTGATGCCTTCAGTAGGTGATGCCTTCAGTAGGTGATGCCTTCAGTAGGTGATGCCTTCAGTAGGTGATGCCTTCAGTAGGTGATGCCTTCAGTAGGTGATGCCTTCAGTAGGTGATGTGGTCAGCATCCTGTATATGATGCCTTCAGTAGGTGATGCCTTCAGTAGGTGATGTGGTCAGCATCCTGTATATGATGCCTTCAGTAGGTGATGTGGTCAGCATCCTGTATATGATGCCTTCAGTAGGTGATGTGGTCAGCATCCTGTATATGATGCCTTCAGTAGGTGATGTGGTCGGCATCCTGTATATGATGCCTTCAGTAGGTGATGTGGTCAGCATCCTGTATATGATGCCTTCAGTAGGTGATGTGGTCAGCATCCTGTATATGATGCCTTCAGTAGGTGATGTGGTCAGCATCCTGTATATGATGCCTTCAGTAGGTGATGTGTTCAGCATCCTGTATATGATGCCTTCAGTAAGTGATGCCTTCAGTAGGTGATGCCTTCAGTAGGTGATGCCTTCAGTAGGTGATGTGGTCGGCATCCTGTCGATTGCTTTTACTTTCCAGGACATAACCTGGTACAAATTGTATGCTGGGTCAGCCTGGTTTGAACGGTTTTATATTACACAGAATTAATGTGAATGTTGCATACTTTTATTTATTGCAGGTCACACTTAACATAAAACAGATTAGCAAGGGGCCTCTACGCTCGTGAGGCCCCTGGGGTAAGTGCCCAGCGGGCCCATGTGTTAAGACGGCCTTGCCTAGATGTTAAAATATTAACTAACTGAAGCATTTAGAGAGTTTTAGAGCCAGGTTGACTTCAGATTTCCCATTCGCCTCAGTGACTGAGGTCACGGCTTGAACACCTGATACTTATTTGTTTTTGGCCCCTGTGAAGCATTTCATGTAATGCTTTACTCTGTTCTTGTTTATCGATTACTCCCTTTTATATATTTTTATATATTTCAAATTGAAAATGTAAATAAATTCTTTAACATTTCATTAGTTAACTATGTGAAATAGTTTTTCCCCCCCGAAGGATTCTGTTTGTGGGAATTCCCACAGGTTCATGACATTTTTTAGCATTCTCAAGATGAAAGGGTTACATTTCGTCTACCTTCTCTCCTAGGGCCCCTGCTGTACCACTGGTCCGGCTTCCGCAATAAGATGTCCATTGAGCTAAGTTACGAGGAGGTCCGCAAGGTGATGCTGGATATAGGCTTTGAAATTGAGGTGGGTTCTTCTTTATCCTCTGGTTGTTTTATTGTATTGATGTATTTAGTTGTTAAGCACCAGCAGTGAACTACGTTATGATAAAGTGGAGTTGGTGAAGGCTTGATTGGATCAAATGGACAGTTGAATAGAAGACAGATAGACAATCCATACACTGAAGGATTAATTCATGGGGGGGGGGGGGGGGGGTGTGTACAGGATTGTGAAGGTATTCAATACTACCGGGGAAACAAATGGATTTCTAATCAGGTTGCCGCACTACCATTAGCTTGTCAACTCTTCGTTGGCTTAGGAAGGAGACACAGCATGTGTAGAAATGTCCCGAGTGCTTGGATTTCAGTTCTGGATTCATTCATTCATTCACATATTGATACATGACAAGGCAGATGTGGTCGAGGCCCTTTGGAAACAAGCAATGGAATCAGTGGAGAAACAAGATTATTATGGCCTGGAGAGAATGAGGCAGCAAGGAAGTCAAGATCAAATTTTTGAGGGCATGCATCTTCCCTGTAGCAACATACGGATGTGAGTCGTGGACTATCTTGCAGTCATTGAAGAAGAAATTAGGGGCTTTTGAGCTAAAGTTCAATAGAATTATTCTCAAAATACCATGGACCAGGAAGAACAGAAAAACTGACATCCTGAAAGATCTGAACATCAAGAAGGATAAGCTAGTCATTAGCATCTTGTCTCGGATACTGAAATATTTTGGCCATATGAAACAGTACTGTGGATTGGAATTATGTAGTCAACGTTGGCATATAAAAAAAAGAGTGAGACTAACAAGACAGCATTTGTATTGCTACAACACCCACCTTCTCACACCCTGACAGACATAGTGGGATGTATTGTCAGTGAATTTTGCAGAGTTTATTCTTGAAAGTTTGCAAGAGAAAAAAATGTTGAATATTACTTTCCAAAAGCCTCTCGTATCATAATGGGTGGTACAGTTTAGATTACATGTGGGAAGGTGTACATGACACCAGTGTACAATTCTTGCACTGCAACATCCTGCCATTCTACCTACCATCTTTCCCATCTACATGAACTACTTGTACTGCTACTGCTGTAGTTGCAATAACAACAATAAAAGTGACTACTACATCAACTACTTCTACTACTACTGCTTTTCTACCATCATACCACTCCACACCTCATTTCAACAGTCCCATTCTGCTGTTTGACCACTCCACCATCTTGCCACTACACTCTGTGGCAGGGCTATTCAACTAAGTTTAATCAGGGGCCAAATCTCTGAAACTGGGAATCTCATGGACCAGAGGCCTGAACTCCATTATAGAAAAAAAATTAATACAATACAACTGGAAATGATTTGTGGGCCACTTGTTAGAACTCTTTGGGCTGGATTTGGCCCACAGGCTGACAGCTGAATAGTCCTGCTCTATGGTATCATGCTCTATGGTATCATGCTCTATGGTATCATGCTCTATGGTATCATGCTCTATGGTATCATGCTCTATGGTATCATGCTCTATGGTATCATGCTCTATGGTATCATGCCCTATGGTATCATGCCCTATGGTATCATGCTCTATGGTATCATGCCCTATGGTATCATGCCCTATGGTATCATGCTCTATGGTATCATGCTCTATGGTATCATGCTCTATGGTATCATGCTCTATGGTATCATGCCCTATGGTATCATGCTCTATGGTATCATGCTCTATGGTATCATGCCCTATGGTATCATGCTCTATGGTATCATGCTCTATGGTATCATGCTCTATGGTATCATGCTCTATGGTATCATGCTCTATGGTATCATGCATGCCCTATGGTATCATGCTCTATGGTATCATGCTCTATGGTATCATGCCCTATGGTATCATGCTCTATGGTATCATCATGGTATCATGCCCTATGGTATCATGCTCTATGGTATCATGCCCTATGGTATCATGCCCTATGGTATCATGCTCTATGGTATCATGCCTATGGTATCATGCTCTATGGTATCATGCTCTATGGTATCATGCTCTATGGTATCATGCCCTATGGTATCATGCTCTATGGTATCATGCTCTATGGTATCATGCTCTATGGTATCATGCTCTATGGTATCATGCTCTATGGTATCATGCTCTATGGTATCATGCTCTATGGTATCATGCTCTATGGTATCATGCTCTATGGTATCATGCTCTATGGTATCATGCTCTATGGTATCATGCTCTATGGTATCATGCTCTATGGTATCATGCTCTATGGTATCATGCATGCTATGGTATCATGCTCTATGGTATCATGCTCTATGGTATCATGCTCTATGGTATCATGCTCTATGGTATCATGCTCTATGGTATCATGCCCTATGGTATCATGCCCTATGGTATCATGCTCTATGGTATCATGCTCTATGGTATCATGCTCTATGGTATCATGCCCTATGGTATCATGCTCTATGGTATCATGCTCTATGGTATCATGCTCTATGGTATCATGCTCTATGGTATCATGCTCTATGGTATCATGCTCTATGGTATCATGCTCTATGGTATCATGCTCTATGGTATCATGCTCTATGGTATCATGCTCTATGGTATCATGCCCTATGGTATCATGCTCTATGGTATCATGCTCTATGGTATCATGCTCTATGGTATCATGCTCTATGGTATCATGCTCTATGGTATCATGCTCTATGGTATCATGCTCTATGGTATCATGCCCTATGGTATCATGCTCTATGGTATCATGCTCTATGGTATCATGCTCTATGGTATCATGCTCTATGGTATCATGCTCTATGGTATCATGCCCTATGGTATCATGCTCTATGGTATCATGCTCTATGGTATCATGCCCTATGGTATCATGCTCTATGGTATCATGCTCTATGGTATCATGCTCTATGGTATCATGCTCTATGATATCATGCTCTGTGGTATCACTTTTGTACAAACTTGCCCACCTGCTGGTAAAACTAAAACATTGTTTCGCCCCTTCTGTTTGTATTTTCACAGAAAGAAGAAATGAATGTGCGATGCTCCTACGTACAGAACCCCTTGTCTCTCTCACAGAACTATTACAACTGCATCATGTTTGTGGCCCGCAAGCCGCTGCCGAGACCCTCCCACCACGAGCAGTCCAGTTAATGGTGTTTACTGTAGTCTCAACATTGTATATTTAAACTGCATTTTTTTTGCCATTTCCACAACAGATCAAGCAGATCTAACACTGGAGACAAAAAGAATTACAGTGACAGATCAGTATACTTAGCTAGTAATTGTGATTGAAAATATGAAGAAGGATATTATGACATATGTGGGCATGCACTAGCAGTTTTCAAAAGCCTGAACCATATGTGGAACTCTAAATTGTATAGTTTTAAAAAACAAGTTACGTATTTTGATTCTAATGTTAAGAAGAATCACTTCAGACATGGAACGAAAGTTGAATGCATTTGAAAACAAACGCCTGAGGAAAATGTTGAACATAAAATAGGATGAATTTAAAAACGGTGACGAAACGAGAGATCTGGGCAACCGCTGGTAAAGACAGTTATAAGACGGAGAAGATGGCACTAGATGGATACATCCTAGGAAGAAAGGAGCACAGAATCATCATACAGGCACTACAATGAGAAATAAAGTGATTCAGGTAGCAAGAACATCCACAAGAAACCCTAAAACGGACGTTGATGAGAGAAGACAAAGATGCTGGACCGGATTCCATCCATGATATTGGACTGATTGTACTGGATAGTATGAAATAGAAGAATAGACTGTCATCCTTATGTGGCATTTAATGGCACAACAGGGCAATGATGATGATGATGATGATATTCTCCACAGTCAAGGTTGTCTAGTCTGCACCCTCTGTTGTCTGCGAATATTACTTTGTGATGCATCCATCTCAGGCTTCTTCTTCAGTGATCTCCAATCATGCCCTAAATCCACTGTGGACCTTAAACTGGGATCTCTGGTCATGCCCTTAATCCACTGTGGACCTTAAAATGGGATCTCTGGTCATGCACTTAATCCACTGTGGACCTTAAACTGGGATCTCTGGTCATGCACTTAATCCACTGTGGACCTTCAACTGGGATCTCTGGTCATGCACTTAATCCACTGTGGACCTTAAACTGGGATCTCTGGTCATGCCCTTAATCCACTGTGGACCTTAAACTGGGATCTCTGGTCATGCACTTAATCCACTGTGGACCTTAAACTGGGATCTCTGGTCATGCACTTAATCCACTGTGGACCTTAAACTGGGATCTCTGGTCATGCCCTTAATCCACTGTGGACCTTCAACTGGGATCACTGGTCATGCCCTTAATCCACTGTGGACCTTAAACTGTGATCTCTGGTCATGCCCTTAATCCACTGTGGACCTTAAACTGGGATCTCTTGTCATGCACTTAATCCACTGTGGACCTTAAACTGGGATCTCTGGTCATACACTTAATCCACTGTGGACCTTAAACTGGGATCTCTGGTCATACACTTAATCCACTGTGGACCTTAAACTGGGATCACTGGTCATGCCCTTAATCCACTGTGGACCTTAAACTGTGATCTCTGGTCATGCCCTTAATCCACTGTGGACCTTAAACTGGGATCTCTTGTCATGCACTTAATCCACTGTGGACCTTAAACTGGGATCTCTGGTCATACACTTAATCCACTGTGGACCTTAAACTGGGATCTCTGGTCATACACTTAATCCACTGTGGACCTTAAACTTGGAGCTCTGGTCATGCACTTAATCCACTGTGGACCTTAAACTGGGATCTCTGGTCATGCCCTTAATCCACTGGAGACCTTAAACTGGGATGTCAGCTCAAGGTCTGTCAGTCTCTCCAGAGTTTAGTTATCAGGTCTGCTGTGTGTGGCAATCAATTTTGCAGCTTCTCTGGGAAAGGACAGTCTTACAAGACATGTTCTGGGCTCTGTTCAGCCCGAAGACATTGGCAGAGAGCTGTTTGCTCATACCTTATTTACAGGAGTGTTTGTTGAGTCTGCGGTGTTGTGTGCATAAGCGAAAGATGGTAACTTTGTCAGTTTTGTGTGTTCCAGGATTGTTTCTTTTTTTTTCCCCTCAAATATCCATTGTTTGTTTTGCAGTGTGTTTGTGATACATTTCTTCTGCCCCACAGCTGGACTCTGTACTACTATCACAAAACCATGAGAACAGTTTTTCTTCTTGTAAATTACCATCTGGCTTATTATTTAATAATTTAATTCATTGTTTTTAATCACCATTCTCATGTTATTGTTTAAGTTCATTGTTTTTATCACCATTCTCATGTTATTTTTTGAATTCATTGTTTTTAATCACCATTCCCATATTATTGTTTAAATTCATTGTTTTTATCACCATTCCCATATTACTGTTTAAATTCATTGTTTTTATCACCATTCTCATGTTATTGTATGAATTCATTGTTTTTAATCACTATTCTCATGTTATATTGACTGTTTTGAAACCATTTAAAATTATTATATCTAAGAAGATTCTGACATGACAGCTTATTGTTCAGTCAGTCAGTAAGTCCTGTCTAGGTTCGAAGCTCCATTGAAATGGGTAAAAAGTATAAACGGGCACACGCACATGTTGTAAAAGTTGAATAGTAACAGGGTTTTTCTTTCAATGTCCGAATGCATATGCCTGAGACACCAGAAGTCAACAATCTGCCAGATCTGTAAAACAGGTATGCCTGCAGAACTCCAGTTCTGAAAACAGACAAAAAGTCCAGAAGTAAACACATGACCATAACTTTCCTCTGTAGTTTGCAAGAGATGTAGACAGCGGCACCCTATTGTAGTAGTAATGGAAAAGAGTGAAATCATTTAAAAAGTGCTATCACTAGTAGTAGATACAGAGAGTGGAATCCTACCACTGAAGTAGATACAGAGAGTGGAATCCTACCACAGAAATAGATACAGAGAGTGGAATCCTACCACAGAAGTAGATACAGAGAGTGGAATCCTACCACAGAAGTTGATACAGAGAGTGGAATCCTACCACAGAAGTAGATACAGAGAGTGGAATCCTACCACAGAAGTAGATACACAGAGTGGAATCCCACCACAGAAGTAGATACAGAGAGTGGAATCCTACCACAGAAATAGATACAGAGAGTGGAATCCTACCACAGAAATAGATACAGAGAGTGGAATCCTACTACAGAAGTAGATACACAGAGTGGAATCCCACCACAGAAGTAGATACAGAGAGTGGAATCCTACCACAGATATAGATACAGAGAGTGGAATCCCACCACAGAAGTAGATACAGAGAGTGGAATCCCACCACAGATATAGATACAGAGAGTGGAATCCCACCACAGATATAGATACAGAGAGTGGAATCCCACCACAGAAGTAGATACAGAGAGTGGAATCCTACCACAGAAGTAGATACAGAGAGAGAAATCCCACCACTGAAGTAGATACAGAGTGTGGATTCCTACCACAGAAGTAGATACAGAGAGTGGAATCCCACCACAGAAGTAGATACAGAGAGTGGAATACCACCACAGAAGTAGATACAGAGAGTGGAATCCCACCACAGAAGTAGATACAGAGAGTGGAATTCCCCCACAGACGTAGACGTAGAGAGTGGAATCCCACCACAGAAGTAGATACAAAGAGTATAATCCTACCACTGAATTAGGTACAGAGAGTGGAATCCTACCATAGAAGTAAATACAAAGAGTGGAATCCTACCACTGAAGTAGATACAGAGAGAGGAATCGCATCATGGAAGTAGATACAGAGAGAGGAATCCCACCACTGAAGTAGATACAAAGAGAGGAACCGCACCACTGAAGTAGATACAGAGAGAGGAATCCTACCACTGAAGTAGATACAGAGAGAGGAATTGCACTACTGAAGTAGATACAAAGAGAGGAATCGCACCACTGAAGTAGATACAGAGAGAGGAATCACACTACTGAAGTAGATACAGAGAGAGGAATCCTACCACTGAAGTAGATATAGAGAGAGGAATCCTACCACTGAAGTAGATACAGAGAGAGGAATCCTACCACTGAAGTAGATACAGAGAGAGGAATCACACCACTGAAGTAAATACAGAGAGCGAAATCCTACCACTGAAGTAGATACAGAGAGAGGAATCACACCACTGAAGTAGATACAGAGAGCGGAATCCCACCACTGAAGTAGATACAGAGAGAGGAATCCTACCACTGGAGTAGATACAGAGATAGGAATCCTACCACTGGAGTAGATACAGAGAGAGAATCCTGCCACTGAAGTAGATACAGAGAGTGGAATCACACCACTGAAGTTGATACAGAGAGTGGAATCACACCACTGAAGTTGATACAGAGAGTGGAATCACACCACTGAAGTTGATACAGAGAGTGGAATCACACCACTGAAGTTGATACAGAGAGTGGAATCACACCACTGAAGTTGATACAGAGAGTGGAATCGCACCACGGAAGTTGATACAGAGAGAGGAATCGCACCACGGAAGTAGATACCGAGATTGGGCAGGGGGATTTACAGCTCGCTCTTCAGGCTGAACAGTTAAGGAAGCCAGCGGTACCTTCTCAATGACCAGCAGCAGCATGGAGGTGATGGCAGTGACACAGGCATCCATGTGGCTAGAATCACAGGACTATATCTGCGTGTGTGTGCTGAGTGATTCTTTGAGCATGATCCGGCGGGTCGAGGCAGGCTGGTTACTCAGTCAGTGGTTTGAGTCATTGCGAAATTCTCCTGTATGTGCAGTTACCTTCATATTCGTCTCAGGGCATGCAGGCGTTGTTGGTAATGAGAGAGCTGATATACTGGCAGGTACTGCATTTATTGAAGATGGTCAGCCTATGGATCACACAGACATTGTCATTGCCCTTAGAGAGATAGGACATTCTGAGGATTTTGAAAACAATGTGTCCACATCACTGCTAAGAATATGCGAATTGGGATTAAAGATCGGCACAGCCAAGCATGAAAAGCACACCGGACGCACACAAAGTCTTGCTAACCAACATAGGACTGGTACTATTAACTGCACGACGCTGATGAATATCTTGAGAGGTGAATCTGAGCACCTATGGATGTGTCAGGAGTGCTGTGAAGATAATCTAACTCATAACTCACATAATTCATAATTCACA